AAACTGATTTAACTACTATCTCCCAAGCCAACACAGAAACTGGAATATAACCGTATCTTTTGTTTTCTGAACTTATCAAAATTTATTATGCCACTGTTTGCTAATCAATAATTTAAATTTCTGTACATAGGAAAACAACGCATACATTACATAGCACCATTTACAGAAAAAAATGTATATTATGGAAACAGATGTTTTATGAACAAAAAAATGCACATCAATTTTCATACAGATTTCTAAAATGAATTTAAAAAACATGATAGTCATATAAATCTATTAGAAATATATGTGTACTTGAATAATATTTGTGTTAGATAAGGATATATAGAATTGAATGTTGTTATAATGATATATTAACACCTTTTTTCTCTTTATTTTTTCAGTTTTTTGTTAAACCACTTTTATGTATTTTTTTCTTTTTATAACTTTTTTAAAAAAGAAATAAAATAAATTTGACAACTTACATGGAAATGATCTGAAATAAACTTATACAGATAGTCCCTTGTTTAAGAACAAGTTCTGTTCCCAAGGTCTGTCCTTAAGTTGAATTTGTATGTAACTTGGAATGGTATTGTATAATACTGTACAGGTAGTATTGTGTAATGAAATTGAATCATTGTGTATTTAACTCGAATTTTGCTACAATAGGCTCCATTCTTAACAATGTGTCATCCATAACCTGGGCATTCTTAACCCGGGGACTACCTGTGCATGAAAAAATATAGAGGTACACTTGTCCATTCTTAAAATTATGTCATATTCCTAAATATGTTAATTAGGAAAAAATACTTTACCCTAGTTTTGAAATGTAATTTCTTTAACTTTAAAAGCAATCATAAGCTTCCTAGCTGGGTAGTTGTTATTTAAACTGAACAATGTAGGAGATCCCTATTCCCTTAGTTCTCTTGCATACAGCTTTTTGTTCAGTTGTTAAGTCGTGTCCGACTCTTCGTGACCCCATGAACCGTATCACGCCAGGCCTTCCTGTCTTTCATGGCTTAGCCATCCTGTATAATGCCAGTTAGATGGCTGTTGCTAATCCAGTTTGTAACTGAATCAACAGCTGTGTTTTGAATCTACAGCACCATCATAATTTAGAAATGAGGAGCTGATTTCATTTGACCTCTAGTTCTCTGGAGATAGCAAGCTTTTTTTTATGATTAACTATATTTACATATGCTGTTCATAATATAGATAAATAGTAAAATTGAAATGTATAATATCAAAGCAAAATGATAAAATAAGTCCCACTACCAGAGAAAAGTAATAAAACTAATTTCACAGTCCACATCTGCAATAAATTACCCATCAGTCATGGAGAGTCCAGATTTTAAAACCACGGTTTAAATGGCTAGAATGAATGTAAGCACTTTCAGCTTGTGCTGAAAAACAATACTGGAAATGTCAAAAGAGCCTCTCAGGAGTTAGGCCACCATGGAATAGGGCCCTTTTTTAAGGAACTGCCCACTTCTGTTAGGTAACCTGAGGGAAATCTGTCACATGATATCATGACTTCACCATTTCCCCAGCCCCCTGTCCTCTTTGCTGCATCTGTTTGAGCAAATGATTCTCACTGGTACATGGAAAGAGCAGCACATGCTGTGGAAGAGTAGTGCTATCAGTATCCTTGGGGCACCTCTTGCCCCTACGATCAACTTTCAGTTGCTAGTTGGGCAACATCCGTGCACTCCTTTGGAACAGCAGTTGATTTGTATTGTGAATGACAGCAGTGATACAGTGCTGTGAATGACAGCAGTGATACAGCTTTGCAGACTTGATTTTGGGGTATACCCATGAGCAGCATTCTACTGGTGCTGTAGGCTTTCTTTTTCTAAGACATTCCCACAGCTATTTGGACCAACAATCAGTTACTTTGGTGATTGGGAGGCAGTGGACATTAATGTCAAGATCCTTGCAATGTGGTGCTACTCCTCGATACAAATGTGAGCAAGATGGGGCTACTAGAGGGCTGCTATTTTTCTTTCCTTAATCTAATACATTCCCCTATGCCCAATCAGAATGGCAGCTTATTCCCGCAAGCTGGGCAGATCTTCAAAGTGTGCTTTATGTTGTGGAAGGTTTGTGTCAATGCTGCTTCATGAAGCAACGTGACTTCCATACTTTGCCTGTCAGCAAGCCCCCCCTCCGCCCTCTCCAGCACTTGGCAAAACAGAAGGGGCTTCTCCACAAGTGCCCGTCGCCTTTCAGAAATGTTGGAGAACCCTACGGGACAGTGCTTTCCTCCTCACCTAAGGCCTGTGCAGAAGCCTTTTCCAGCTGTGGCAAATGACAGAAGGAAGCACCACAGGGAAGGTTTCAGGGCAACCCAGGGTCCTTCAGCAAGGTCAATCACATTGCCTCTTTACCTTGATGCAGAGAATAGTGTTGCCTCTGTAGTGCAAAGCTCTTCATTGAGATGAACCTTTTCCTCCCTCTACTCATGCCTTTGCTTTTTTCTATTCAAATGTAGAGCTTTGCTTTTGTCTCTAATAATATTTGTTGCAGTCTTCTACCCCTATTCCAACTTGTCAAGATCCTCCTAAATCTTCTTCTTATTCTCTAAGATGTTTGCTACTCCCATTTCTGTATTAGATGAAAACTTGATATTTTCAAATCCTTCATCTAAGTCATTTATAAATACATTGAACAGCATAAAGTCTAATATGGAACACTGAAAGTACACTATTCAACATCTTCCAGTTTGATGTGGATCCAGTGATTTACATTCATTCTTTACATTATATTACATTCAACTAGCTCTGTGTTCATCTAATGGTAGCACTTCACAGCCCACATCTCCCATCTTCTCTACTAAGATTTCATGGGAGGCTTTGCTGAAGGCAAGGTATCTGTCAAAAAAAGGTCAGATTAGTCTGGCATGAGCTGCTGGTGACAAACCAATGCAGGCTTCCTGCCAAGCAATAAATCCTTTTCAAAATGCTTATAGATCAACTGCTTAATAGTCTACTCCAGAGTTTTGCCAGGTGTTGATGCCAAGGTGATTGGTTTTAGATCCTAATCCATCCTGACCCGACCTCTCCCCCTCCCTTTTGGAAGGTAGAAATATTTGACTTTCTCCAATCCTCAGGCCAAATTGCATCATTCCTTCATGATTTCTGACATCACAAAAGAAGCTCTGAAATGACATCTGCAAGCTCCTTTACGAGGTTTGGCAGACACTTAAACTTGCCTGTGGTAGGCAGGGACTTCATAACTATCCTTATTTACCTCGGATTGGCTCTCCCTCCTAGTGACAGTTGTTCGGCTTAGGTCCATTTTCCCAGGTTTCAGGTAAATTAAAAACTATATAATCCAACTTGCCCCCCTTCTCACACTCATGACCAAGAATGTCATCAGTAATGAAATGGCACCAGCTAGATCCTCAAATCCAAATCCAGGATTCATCATTCTAGGGCTAGAGTGCTAAGGTAAAGCAGCAGATCAATGACAAATATTACTGTAGAACAAGGCATTGTTTCAAAGCTGCTTCTTGCTCCTTATTACAGTCAGGTGAAAAAGTAACTTTTTTTTCCTTTTTTTATGTATGTGGACATATCAATATTTTACCTTCATTCAAACAGTATAGAAAGATAAAGGTGATGTAACTGAACAAAGAAACTATGAAAAATTGACTTTGCAATAATTGATTCAACAAAAAAATAACAGATATGCCATTTCCTTCTGTGAAAAAAGTAAATACACTCTTGGCTCTAATTCTTAGTACTGCCCCTTTGGCAGAAGCAATCTTGAGTAGGCATTTCTTATAACTCCCACTCCTCCATGCATATTTTTTTCAGCTGTGTGATATTTGAGGGGTTTCTTGCACGCACAACCCATTTCAAATCACCCCACAGCATTTCAGTGGGATTTAGATCTGCACTTTGACTTGGCCATTCCAGAACCCTCCATTTCTTTTTCTTTTTTTCAGCCATTCCTTAGTGGATTTACTGGAAAGTTTAAGGTCATGATCATGTCTCAAAGTCCACTTTCGATTGAGATTCAATCTTCTGCCAGATGGTCTCACATTATCTTAGAGTGAGCTGCCCAGGCCCTGATGCAGCAAAGCAACCACAAACCATAGCATTTCCACCCATTTACAGTTGGGATCAGGTTCTTCTGGTGAAATGCTCTCTTTGGTTTTTCACCAAATGTGTCTTCTGGCACTGTGCCAAATAACTCTATCTTTGCTATGTCTGTCCAGAGCACTTTGTTCCAGAAGTCCTGGTCTTTGCCTAGATGTTCATGAACAAAGTTTAGTCTTGCCCTGATGTTCTTTTTGGACAACAAAGGTTTCCTCCTCCCATGTAGATGTAATTTGGTCAGTTTCTTCCTAAAGGTAGACTCATGCACTTTGACATCAAAAGTGGCAAGTGGCAATAGGAGGTCACGTGATGAAATTCTGAGGTTCTTAGGAGACTTCTTTTAGCATTTTGAGTTCTGCTCTCAGGCTGAGCTTGCTGGGAAGGCCTGGCCTAGGCCAGTTGGCAGTTGTTTGAAATCTTCTCTGCTTGTAGATGATCTTCTGGATAGTGGAATGACTGTTGTCCAATTGTTTTGCGATATTTTTAAACTCCTTCCCAGACTCATAGGCATCTATAACCTTCTTTCTGAAGACCTCAGAGAAGTCTTTTGATCTAGGCATGGTAATACCACACACTTCCAACAAGAAGAGCAAATCAAACTAAATGCCTGGGTTTTAATAAGACAAGTACTTCCCAGAACCTCTCTAATGATGATCTGATCATTTGCTCCTGATCTAGCACACCTGATTCTAATTTTTGGTATTTGAGGCAGTGATCAATGCAGGGGTATTTACTTTTTCCACTTGAAAAATTTGCATTTATGTTTATTTCAATTTACACAATGGACTACAAAATGTAAATGGTGCATGATATTTGTTATATTATATCCCTTTTATCAATACTGTTGGAAAGAAGATCAAATATCTGTATGTTGAAATATGTTGGAAAAGTCAAAAATTTCAATGGGGTGTACTTTTTCACATGACTATATGCTATGAAGCCAAGATGCTGCAATATATGCCATTTTTCAATATCAGTAGAGCTTCATAGCACTCCTGAGTTCAAGCAATATTGTGGTACTTAGATTCAGCACTATATGCACTGGTTTCAGGTAGTAGTCAGCTTCTTCCTCATTATCTCCAAATCTGCAGACCTGAGAAAGGCTGAACAATCCCTTGTCACCCCCATTCTACAAATGTCTCCTTTGCACTCATGGACATTAAACACCTGTTTACTGATACAACCTGAGGCATAATACAGACTTGGGGTTGCTGTTCTGTGCTTAAATAGGGTTAGGATCCAAACACCTTCTGACTATGCTTAAGGCCTCAGGTCTGCACAGTGATAGATTTTCCTTTTCTCTTTCAACAGAAGGTTTGAGTGCCATGTGATGACCTCCATTTGTTTCTGAAGCAGTTTACAATGTAGCATAATGAAAGCGAAGGAGCTGTAATTAAAGGCACATTATCTCCAAGTCTTAGGACAATTAAGTCCTATAAAGAGCTGCTGAGGGTGCTTGGTACAGATGAACAGATGATTCCAATGAGGGTAGGAATGGAAAAGATGATATCTTCAAGTACTGGGTGGGGCGTCACACAGCCATCTTCTCATCATTCCAGAGAGGAAGAGACAGCACAAAGGTCTTAATTCCTGGGAAGGCAGATTCCAGCTGAAATAAGGAAAACTTCCTAGGATAAGAAGGGTGGCTCTCCTTTGCTGAATGCATTCAAGAAGAAGCTGGATAGACATTTATTAAGGATGGTTTAATTTGGATTTCTACACCAAGTAGTGAGTTACAAACAATGCCCTAAAACAGTCCCTTCCAGCACTTTGGTTCTAATCAGTTGTGGGTGATGGTACAAAACTTCAAATTTATCATACAAGGTTATAGCATAGTCTTTTGATGAAACCCAAATTTCATAATTAACAGGAAAAAAAATTATGACACATCCTAAACAAAGAGCATGATGCAACATGCCTTTTGAGTCTAAGGTTCTATTAATCATAATTTGGAAATAAGCCCACAATATTTAGTATGCAGTTTGTATATACAGCACTGCATCCTTTGCAAAAGAAATTCACATGGAACAATAAGAAAATCATGAGATCTAACCTACCTTTGCCATTACTTAGTCACTAGTCAATCCAAACTGGGATAGCATTTCTAATCAAACTCCTGGGAGTAGTTTCATTAGAACTGCAAAAACACATTCAGCCACTAGATGACAGCAAAGAGAGTGTTCTGTATGTCTTTGATGCAGTCTAGTGATCATCTGATTTTTGTAGCCCAGATCTGATAGTCTTATCCTCACCCTTAATCAGCAGTGGTGAAGTCTTTGGTGGGCTGGGTGGCTTTTAATACTGATGTTTTGTCCTGTGCTAAATAAAATTTGTTTCTTCCCCTCTTTATTTAAGTAATTTCTACTCTGTTTTTCCTTGCAAAAAAAGATGATGATGAAGGTGGCTACAAAAAAAATTAAAAATATGAGCACAAATTAATAGCAGTGGTAATGAACCCCAAAAAATTCAAAAGTCAACCATAATTAAATAGAATTAACTTATTTACAAGATTAAATACTTGTTTAAAAAGAAATGCCAGTGAAATGCAAGAGGATAAGGATCTCCCTCTTGTGGCAGGGTGTTTGACATCTGGGGATCTGCCACCTAGAGAAGGTCTTCCAGCATGTTGCCATACAAATACAACAATCTTTCTCTCCCTCTCTAAATACTCAGAGAGCAAAGCAACCCATTTGTCCCCTTCCTCTATTCAGCCCTGCAACTGACACTGCACACACTGTGTTTCTGGTATCCTATATATATTTAAATATACGTGTGCCATATTTGTTAAAGAGTTGTTCACCTTCCAAACTGTTCACCAAAAGAAGTATCAATGAGATCCATTACTGACATGAGAAATTTTATATAATGAACTCTTTCATGTGAGAAGTTTATTTTTATTGGTAAAATATTAAATAGTATACAGAATTAAAAACTGCACATACACATTTGAGAAATAAGTCTTGGACAAATTTTATGCTTGTTCCTGAGATTCCCTACATTTAATTCCAGTAGCTGTGCACAGTACAAACATCCATAATATAATTATTTTCACAAAGTATTACAAAGTTTCTGCAGCTCTGTCTTATTTATATATATATACTCAAACACTCTCTCATGCATTTTCATCACTCATATCCATATACCTTGCACACATACATATGGTGCTCATTTGTATGCATGTAAGGAAGGGGGAAATGTCCAATTCCAGCAATTACAGAAAGCTAATTAGCGGTTGTAGACTTTGATAGCAAACCAGGAATTCTTTGCTTTTGAACTCTCCCATTCAACTTTAGATCTAACACTCCACTTAAAATGCCCCTAGAACTAGTTTTAGATCATAGGCTTCCCCAGGTGTATATGAGAGCATAGACCAGATCTATAACTCTCATCTATAGATGCATCTCTTCCATTCTTGGGAGTAGGATTATCTAATTTGTCAATTTTCCACTTTGAATAAGAAATCCTTTTTTGAGTTAAATCCATAGCAGATACTTCTTTCCCAGCAAGACTGAGCAGGAAGGATAGAGAGGGACTACCAAACATTTCTCCCAACAATGTGACAATAATGGAACAGTTGCCCCATCTACCCAGTAAGACAGACAGCTTTGAGCGTTCCAGAGTTGACCACAGAGACCATTCCAAGTGACTCTGATATAGATCTGATCCAAAGCCCTTTCAAATCTTACAGAGGTCACTCAAATGTATTTTTTGGCCCTGGTCTCTAACATTTGGGTTATAAATCATGTTCTCATTAATTGAAAGTTAGCATGAGTGACCTCACCTAGGACGGGATGTATTACAGTTATTACTAAATTATGCCCACTATATCAAATTACATCAAATGCAATCATAGTATAGCCAGACTGGAAATCCATGGAGTACCATTCCCTATTATTTGTAAACATCCCAAACTGGCTTGTTCATATTCTACCCACCCTGACCACTGAGTCACTTCAAACGCCTTTAAATAAAGCAAAGAATATTTGGGATGAAAATAAATACAAACAATGTGAATATTTTGTAGAGGCTGGTTTATACCTGATCACAAAATTTAAAATGGGGGAAACAAGCAATTACAGAGTTTGGAACTGACTGGCAAATGACAAAAGTGAGGAAGATACTGGGAGATGAAGAAAACTCCATCCTGGAAGGAGTACAATGGACTTATGACATCACATATCCACTTCACAATGCTTTCTGCTCTATACAAGACAGAAACTTGGAAAGCATAAGAACTGATGGCAAGTTGACATGTATCCTTTAAGATTCTTAGGAATCCAATTCTGCACCATGACCTAAATATCAGAAAGATTGTTCTCATGCAGCATAGCAGCACCCATCCACTAACACAGGTACCTACGAATCCATCTCCCACTTTACCAAAAACAAGTGCTTCTGGGAAGCAAAACACCAGGAGTCCACGGATTCCTTTTCCAGACCTCTCATTTGCACTGGATTCTGGAGAAGGAAGAAGCAGCAGGAATCTGTTCCAATTGGTACAAATGATTCTGTTTCTCACAGTTTCTGTTCAGAGAAAAACAGTACAATCCCAAGCATGTCTACTCAGAAGTAAGTATTCCATGGGGTTTGCTCCCTATTTACTTGGTAAGTTGCTTGGGATTCTGTCCTAAACTCCACTGGGTGTGCCAGAAAACTGAAGGGAATGAGCTGGAGGAACTGGTGGTGACCACAAATGCTGGCTTAGCTGATTAGCTAGGCAATACTTATGGACCTTCCTCCAGAAACAGTCTAACTCAAATGAAAATCTTGATGAAGTGCTTCACTTCTTTAAATAAAAATATTTATTAAACTCTTGTTTTCTTTTGGCAAGTGCTTAAAATCTAAGGTTATTTTCCCTTATCTTGCACATACACATCCCCCCCACCCCCTAAACCAGCAACCACCCCGAAGTGGCCTCTGCGTTCAGTAACAGCTTCCCCCACCAAATATTCACAAGGATTTTTATTCTGTACCTAAATACATATTTACAGCATAGCAGTCTCCACCTATTTGAGTAATAGGTATTAAAATATTCTAGATATATAAATAAAGCATGACATATAAAATAAGCCCTACCATAACAGATAAGGCAAGAAGAATTAAAAATAAGCTTTCCTGGTGAAAGAATGCCTGCCTTGTACGTCTCCCTGCAGACAAAAATCCCCCAGACATAAATGCCTAGACTGAGAATTTGGAGTCTGACCCAAGATGGTTCAATGCAAAGGGCATTTTCAGCGAGGATCAGGCCCATTTGTGTTAAGTGCTTTACCCAATGAAAAAAAGAGTGAAACCCCAACCAAAGAGGAATCCAAAATGCCTAGCCTTAGCAAGCAACCCACTGAGACCGCACCGATCAAAGGCACGTTATGGATAATAGCACTAAGAAGAAAGGGGACATCTACACCTATCAGTTGCATCCCCACCACTAAATTGGTTCACTTAAGCTTTGGGGCAGCCTCTGCTCCTTGCCTCTCAGCACAATCAGACATGTGGTCCAGGCCAAGGGCAACCTTGAACCATTTCTTCCCTCTCTCTGAGCTGTTGTTCTACACAGACCTTGGAGCAAAAGCATCAGCTAAAACCGTGTGTTCTAGAGAATGGAACACCAGGGTTCCTGAAAGGCAGCTTTCCTTCCCCTGCAATGGGCTGCTCCGTTTGGGTGTGTTCTCGGTCACGCTCTTAGCGCAAGTGAGTCAGTGATGAGCAGTCAGAGCAGTGCTCCACCAGAACTAATATGCGTACCGTGCGACATGCCCCAGTATTCTGTGCAGTGTGCCAGCAGCAGAAGTAACAAAGTGGATGGGGTTCCCTGAAGATTCAACTTTTAAAAACCAATGTATCAAAACACTGGCCTTTGTCTGGTCAGCAGTTTGCTTCAAAATGTAATGTCATTATTCAAACAATGTTCAATGCACTATAAAACTTTCAGAGATTATTGCACATAAATGAAACAATCTGTCTTTTCTGTCTTAAACTAAACAATCTGGATAGTGGCTCCAAACTTGTTAAAAGCATGTTCTAATATTAAGATGCAAAAATACAACATTTTGGGTGCAGAAATTCTGCCTAGGAATAGAATAATAGCAAAACTTTTAAAGCATAGTCTTCCATTGGAAAAAAATGACACATTTTTACACTTTAAATTTTTCTAAACAGTTATGCATTAAAAGCTTCCAATCTGTCAAAAAGTCATACATCTTAAGAAAAAGAAAGTACAACCAGAAAATAACATCAACATAAAGAAAGGCAAATGTTTAGTATTACAGTTCCACAGCTCTGCCATCTCTAATGATCCTAAATTTAAAAGTGTTAGAAAGATTATTTAGCTATATTTACCAGATCATTTTTCTTTTTTAATACAAAACTACACTCAAGTACAAAAATATGTAAACACACTGTACAGCCAATGAACAGATAACAAATTAAAATTAAAAACAAGATCAAGTTGCAGGCAACAAGAGCTATGATAGTGTAAAACTGAAAACAAGAAAAATGGGCAGGAAAAGACCAAAACAAAGCAAAATAAAACTCCTACAAGTGACACAAAAAGTAAATATGATCAAGATTTGAGAGTGCTTGATAACAGGACAAATCTCTGATCACAGTTTCAAAGTACTACAAAATAAGTAAAAACCATTCTCTCTTAGACATGAGTATCTATTTATGTCATGCAGTATAAAATTGAAACAAATCTGAAAATCAAAGAACAGGATCCAGTGTTTGAATATCATGGAAGAATTAAAAGATGTGTTTTAATATCTCCCAGTGAAATTAACAGTTTAAAGAATTGTAAGTTTGAGTGGGACATGCCCCCAATTTTTTTAACCAAAGCTATCTATCTGAATTTGGTGGACAAGAATCTAAACTAAAAACTTCAGTTTGAAACAACGGTTTTCAGGCCTCTGATGCCAATCATCTCCAGTAGAAGCCCAAACACATCCATGTTCCTGCAGCTTCCAGCAGTCCCCTTCTGCAGCTCCGGCTCTTCATAGGAACTGGAGCATGTTCTGGAAGCATGGGGGTAGGAAAGGAAACCCTCTAAAGCCCTCTGCAGGGGCTTCAGCCCCAACCCCTTCCAGAATGTCTTGATGAATTAAGGGTGCATATATTGGTTTCTCTTGAAAAATACAGTCAAGTTTTTGGCACCAAAATTCACTTCCGCTTTTTTGTTTGATACTATCAATTCTGAATTGGTGGACCTATAAATTAAACCTTTATCTCTATTAATATACCAGCACTGGAAGTAAATAATCAGCACTTTCTACATAATCTCAAGTTACACTAAAATGTTCAAAATAAAAAAAAGGGCTAAATTTCCTTGCAAACTAGTTATTTTAAAGCTTCTATGGACATATCTGTTTTTCTTCTTTTGTAATAATCCTCAAGTGTTGTGTCTCACTTTCAATCCAAGCAACAGTCTCTTCTCAAAGCATTCCAGACCAAGCAGCAACTTTTTAAGAGGTGGCTTTGAAACTGTTCCACAGAAGGAACTGCAGAATTTGGTAAAAGCCATCTTCATCAATTGGAGATCGGTAATGATAAGCAAACTCCCTCAAAAGATGAGGTGGCAAGCATTGCTCATACTCTGAGCTACAGTACTGGATGCATTTCAGTTCCAAAAAGGCCCCTTTGAGGCTCCTTGGGCTTAGTCTGTGCACACCAGAAACGATGTGAGCCCAGACTAGAATCCGTGCAGATTTCCCTTTGCAGAGGATCAACACAGAAAGGATTCTCTGAAGCCCAGAAGTCTCTAGTTTAGGAAATATTATTAATTCCTACTCCCAAGCCCCAGTATAACATAACTCACCTAAAGTTATTCTAGCAAAATACATTTGACTCTCCTGGTAGCTGAGTAAATTGTTTAAGAAACCCACAGTCAGACTTGTGCTAATTAGAAGTTTTCATTCAAGTGGCATTTGAGTTTCTTGTTCATGAGAAAAGGTCAAGTCAAACTCAACCTCTGGTGACTTCCTAGGCACATCCTATAGTTTTCTGGGTCAAAATATGGGAGTGCTATTCCCTTCTTCTGGGCTGTTTTTTGACTCTTTTAATTCCTAGGCATCTCCTGTGAAAGTAGGGACCAGGCCTGGCAAGGTTTGCAGGCGGAGCCCTGGCACACAAAGCCTTCTTTAATTGAAAACAGCCAAATTAAATTTTAATCAAACCAAATCAAAGTTATTTTTATTTATTTAAACTGTTTTCTTTTTTTACTGTCGGAACAAAAAGTAAGTCCCTTAAAGAAAACTAACTGAATTACTTTGTAATGACAATCTTCACAAAGTACTTTGAAATGTTTTCTCTTGCACAATTAATCAAAGTTAAATTGTTGTGAAATTCCAATTTTTGAAAACCATCAGAGGTTTTTGAGCTCAAAAGAGGCTCCATAACAATTGTGCATGATAAATCAAACTAAGGCTTCCTTTCCTGGTATCTCAACATTGATTATCTTTCATTTGTGAATTCCAATTAATTTTTTTTTTTTACAAATTCATGTCCTCCCTCTGAAAATCCAATATTACATTTCATATGCAGCTAAATTTGAAATGCTAATCATGCAAAAATATATTTCAATGTTTTTTATAAGACTGATGAATTCAAATATACCGTCACCTTGTCCATTTTGATCACAGTTCTTGCAGTAATACTTAACATTCTTCTAATAAACATACTACACTGTTTTATAAGGAATATTAAATATCATTACAGCCCTTACTGTACAGAATATAGCATGAAATACTTTTTGAGAGAGATCATGTCATCTTTTTTTGTGATGAATGCAAAATGAACAAGAAAATCCTGAACTGAAACAGAAAAGGTAACATATATAATTCCATTATCAATCTGTAGAGATGCTAAATTTTATATATTTCCATAGGAAATAATAAAACAAAGGATTATTATTATACTGAAGATGGGCCTCCCAAATATATATATATATATTTTTTGTGATGGGGCTGCAAGAGAACACTTTCTTTTAGTAACTCTCCAGGTTTATATAATTGCAACATGTAATGGGCCACTGCGGCTTGTTTAGTCTCTGTGTGATTTTACTTTTCATGGTAATAACTTATGAATGGCTTTTTGTCAACTCCTGTCAGACATAACTATTTCAGTTTTTACCATTTTGGAGGTGTCAGCTCTTTCTTAAATTCTTCCTCCATTATGATTGATGCAGGAACAAACAGGCACAATGAAAATATTTTTGAAAATTATTGAATAGGATCTAAGTGAAATATGCTCTTGTGCAGGTTCATGAACCTTTTCCTTCCTAAAATTCTTTTAAAGTCAAGTGACCTTTCTAAACAGCCATTAAGATAGAAATGCAGGTCAGCAATTGGGTGCAAAAGATGTTCAGAAATGAAATAGTAGAAGCAAGGGTGATGTACAATCTGCTTCTTGAATTTGGACTAGTTCAAGATCAATCTCACTACTATATGTAGTTCAGCTTTTGGGGAGAGTGCTCAGAAAAACAACAGAGTATTCATCTGAAATGTATTCATTCATAACCTTCAAACAGTAACTACTTTAATTGCCACTGAAAAGAGGTTCAGGTCACTGACCAGCTGGGCCTCTGGATAACATAGGGTTCCTGATTTAGCTTTGTTTCACCTTGTACAAGTGATCATGCAAATCATAAAAGGTCAGTGGGCAGCATCCAACATCCAGAAGGTCCCCAAACTTCCAGAGAAAGTTTGTGGGGTGTGTGGGGAGTGGCAGAGGGGAGGGGAATCTGTTCTGTTGGAGGACAAAACAGTGAAATACAACCCACAATTTCAGCCAAGCAACTGTTGACAGAACTGTTTTGCTCTGGGGCTTCCTGCCATGAAATTCTTCTCTGATATTAATACCAGTTGTGTAGTTTGTGATTTTTGGCTTGTATTTATTTTAGACAAATTTGTTACTCAAATCTTTATTGCTTCTACATAAGATTGTGGGAAGCAACAATCTAGCTTCAGGGTACCCTGTTCTTGGACAAAGAATGTACAAGCTAAACATGTTTTCTGAGGGAAATGTTAAAGCAAGATCACTTTAATTTCTATCAATTACTAGACTGGATAGGATAGCTGCCCGGTCTTCCCATTTTGTACTGAAAGAGAGTAACAGTATATTTTAGTTTTCCAGCTCCATTTTAGAAACCAATGAACTTGCTTTATTCTTGGGTGTGCTGACAGAAATATGAAAAACCAAAGACGCCAAATGGTTTGTTTCGAGAAGCAACCTGAGGCAGTAACCTGTGCTGCTGAAGGTATTTTTAACTGCAAGCAACTCCTAGTAACCCCTTCCCTTTGCTGTGCTGTAGTTTAGCAACATCTGCTGGGTCACAGGACCCTTTCCCCATAATCTAAAGTCATTGAAGGTATGGTTTTTAATCTATTCTCTTTGTAATTTTACAGCCAGGTGTGCAAATATCCAAGGATGTAGAAAAATGTGAGGTAGTCACTGATTTTATTAAAAAACCCAACCAACCAATATAGTTGAGGGGAAAAAGATTGATAAAATTAAATATTCTAAATCCAGATCATATACTCAGAGCTATGTAGATAATCAGGAGAGAAGGTTTGAACCTTAATATTTCAACCTCTTAATTCACTGTAGTCTTTCATTTGCTAATATGATCAAGGGGATAACTAAAACCTGAAATTATTTTCAGGCAAGTAATCAACCTGTGCCTAATCTAAGGCTCGTGGTTTGATTCAGTTTCATTTGAAAAAATGTTCTCCTATATAGTAAGAAATATTTATGACCACAATTAGTGTGTCTGAGTGTGTGAGTGTGTGTGTGTGTGTGTGAGAGAGAGAGAGAAAATTAGAAAGAGACTAAAGATTGGCTTACAGATTAGTTTTCCTTGAGGAAGTATGGCTGAGATTGAGAACTGGTGACCCTCCAAATGTGGCTGACCCACAATTGCCAACATGGTGAGAGATGCTTGGGAATTACAGTTCAGAAACAATTAAAGGACTACAGGCTCTCTGCATCTCACGTGAGTATTTACTAGAATATTTATACGTATATTTGGAAGGTTCTACATGCTGCAGTTTTAAATATGTACCTGGGGGGGAAAAGATATTTTTGCACAAAATGAATATTTATTCCCCTACATGTATGTAGAAACAGTGGCATTTGTGAAGTAGCTCTAACAGTTTCTTCACATCCTTGTATAGATAAATTAATTATTTATCAATTTGTAGGCTGCCTCAATCACTATGGCAGCTCTAGCCAGCTGATACAGGATACAGATCTCCTAACTAAAGGTCTTAGTTTAGTCAGCTTCTTAATGCTTCACACTACAGAAAATAAAATGAAAAATATAAGTATTTCATAGTTCAAATGCATTTGTGATGAGCATATCTGAGATTCTAAAGCAGCAAAACCTGCTACATAGGTTTGTATTGATATCTGCATTTCTAAACTAAGAATATTTACTAGGAAATAAACCCCTTCTGAACTAAGTGAAGCTTACTTTTGAGTAAACATACACCAACTCCAATTGTTAGTCACCTAAACAACTTTAAAAAAATACACAGGGCCCATCATTTAAGGCCCACAGGAAGCTGGGAAATGAATGTTAAGGACGTAAGAACATCCTAGCAATTATTTTTCTTTCCTTTTTAAAAGTGCATATTGGGGTAAGTAAAATAACATTTTATGTTTTCAGATTTCCTGGATGATGTCACATCATGTATAAAATCAAATCTCATTTATGTGATTTAGTATTCAGATATAAAGAATTCATTTACATTCCAGACAAACAATACCTTGTAAGAAAGTACCTCACCTCAGGAAATAACATCTGAGCAAAATTTGATATTTTTTGTGCTCCTAAATCTCTAGATAGGTTAGCTTTAAGTGGAACCTCTCTCTGCCCCTACACGCAACCCTTTTGCTAGAAATTTTTGCAAAGTAAGAATCTCATCTCCCAACCTGAACAAAACTTTAGCTACACATTTAAAAGGGTTTTATACCTTTGAAATTATCATTCTCCCCCAAAATAATAATTTGCTAAGATGTCAGAGCACCTTGTGGAGTTCAGCAGTACCCAAGATACTTGAAAAGCTATAGGAAAAATTGTGACAGAAATGAACTCCCTTTCACTTTCCACTATGAAAGGGCGACATCCATTTTCATAGCAAAAACAATAAGCCAAACTACTCTCTGGTCCCTCCTTTCCTTCCTTCTCACCTCACCACTGGTGGTAACGTGAGACTGGATCCCCAAAACAGCAACAACAAAAATAACAATAATTAAAAAGGAAAACAGAACCTGGGAAACAGAACCAATGAGAAAAGCTGGGTCAACATCTGAGGAAAAGTGGGCTTGCAAGTGCAGTATTTCTTCATGTGCAGTGTTTGTTTTTCTACTTCAGCATCTCCTTTGGAAAAGAAGGCTTAATGGAATGTGTGTTCTCCTCGGACAATGTGGGAAGAGAACTCATATCGGTCCTGACTCCGGTAGCCACAAATGTTGCATTCTAAGGGGTCCCGGTAGCCATGACACCCCATATGAATGGTGTACATGACATGGTCTAGGAAAAGAATTCGACAGTGTTCACACTTAAATGCCCTTATCTGCTCTCCTTCTCCATTGAAGACCTTATAGATATCCTTTAAAGAGCCCTTTGATGCTTTACTGACCTCCAAAGTCTTGGAGTCATCCTTCATGTAAGCTGGGCTTTGCTTTCGTTTGGGATTTAAGGCAAGGTTTCCTTGGAAGGACTGGTGGTCTTCATGGCTGCTCTCTGAGTCAGAAGAATCGAGGCAGCTATTGCTAGGTGAAGCCTCTCTTTCTTGGGGATGACTCTTTGGTCTGATGAGGGAGAGAGGGCCGTCCACATTATTTTCATTGCTGTCAGAGGTTTCTCTGCTCACTGGTCTTTCTATCCTGTTAGGGTTGTAGACCTGAGCATAAGCTGAACTTATGACATCAGCAATTGTGCTTGGTGTGTGCTGCATCAATGGGTGAAGTCCCTCTGCCCCAAGGTAAGAGATTGCATTGTTGATTGCTTGGTCCATCATGTGAGTTTGCATCAGCTCAGCATCTCTCTCATATGGTAAGCTTGGGTCAAAATGAATATCTGGATAACCATATCTCATGAGCTTTTCACCTACATCAGAACAACAGTAAGAAGAAAAAATATCACTAATAAGGTAAGAAATGAAAGATAAACAGTGCAAATCATTGGCAGAAACTGATTCACACATTTTTGCTACTTAAAAACCATCCCAGGAACATTTACTCAGAAAGAAACTATATTCCATGGGATTTACCAGCCCGTAACTGTGCAAGAGATTGCAAATTCTGGCAGAATCTGAAGTATTTGCTAAATTAGCAAGAATGGAATATAAATATAACAAAACCATTTTATTTAGTTTTTCATTTTAACATTCTGTGATTTAACTTTAATTTAATTAATTAATTAACTTTCACAATCCATGGACCAATGTAGCAGCTCCACAAACTGATAAATACCAACAATTTGTGTACTTCACTTTGCTTTGTTGATGTGTTCTTACTTCACATTTACAAATACAGAAATTAGAATATAAAATACACGCTACTTTCCAAATCTAAAAAATACATACACACTGATTTACAATATTTCTAAACAGTGAAATAATTGGATTGCTATTTTCAAATAATGCAGTGAATACCAAGTTTACATATGCACAGAGGTAAAATTCATGTATCTTTCTGCTAAATATGTTGTGAAAATCTGTGTAAGATGTGGAGCCCTCAGGCATTGAAGCAAAACTGATATGAAGAAAAATGAGACATCCTACTTTAATTTCTAAAACATTGTTGTTTCATTTGGGAATAAACAACCGTATAAAACAACATGGACATTACATATGCACAGATGACAACATTTGTTAGAATCACTTAGTCTTTTCAGAAATATCATTAAATCAGAAGCGAGAAATGTGTGGCTCACAAATCATGCCTCTTCCCATGTTCACTGCAGACTGTTCATTCAAAGTAACATCCCTACATTACCAATTTCAGAAATGAACTCAGTTATTTTGGACCATGATATGGTCAAGAATCTGTCTGTATATGCCCAAATGTCCTGGCTATCTGAGCAAATCAAGAAGTCAAGGAAGAAGAGGAAGGCTAATGTTTGAAATCTAGGCCCTAAGAAGCCTAAAGGAGGAGGTTAAGAAGAGTGGAAAGAATGAGATAGTAAAAGGATTGCGTGAACGGAGAAGCAGAGGAGCCAGATGTTTATACTTTTTCCCTTTCTTCTATTGATGACTTTTGGATGGTCATGCTGACTTTCACTCTCATAATAATAGAACAGCACTCAACCCCAATATGATCATGGATGAAGGAGTTGGATCAGGTATGCATGACTGAAGGAGGAGCAAAGTCTAATTTTGCACTATCCTAAAGAGGTACGTACTCAATGCAACAGCAGTATAGGTCTGAGAAACAGGACGGGGTGTGTGTAAGACTTCAATCATCACAAAAATTCCATTAATCTTACTCAAAATCCAAAACATACACCACATGCACACATAATTTTACTGGTAACAGCTGCAAAGGTTTGAACAAATATAGAAACTTATTGTTTATTCTCTACTCATATTCTCATTTGAGTTGGCAGAGTTAGTCTATGGATCAAAGATAGTTATTCTGGAGGATTTCAGTACCTATACTGACTAACTCTATCAAGTCCAACCCATATTTATAACTATCATGATAATTGTGGGACTATCTATATCAATTACAGAGATAACATACATTACAGCTCACTTTCTCAATTTGGCTTTTGGGTTATTGTGGACTGGTAGAGAGAAGACTGCTCATTTGACACTGATGGATTACTCCCTAGTAAGATATAGCTGGCAATGACTGGCACCTGTTACAATGGTCTGCCTCCAGAGATTTATGAAATCCAAGGATTCTTGAATGCCCTGGGTGATTTTCCAGGCAACACGGAAACCATGGTCACATAATAGAATGGCGAGGTGAGATGGGCCACTGATTAAAATTATTATTCCAGAGCACCATCTCTGACTGCGGAGCATTCAGAATGCTCCTTAGTTTTTTCATGCATTCTGGATGATGAAACAAGCCTGTACTCAGCTAGAATGTAGACATGAATAAATCTTATTGTTTCGAAAGTGAGCTAGTACAGGTTACTTTCATGTGGTGGTAGTACTGTTGGTGAAGAAAGTTTAAAGCTTGTTCAGGGCCAGATTCAGATGGTTATTCATTGGTTTATAAAACACCATGATGTAGCTTGAGAGTTAAAATGTCCATCATCCATGCCAAATTAGATGCCACAGTTACTGCAGAATCTATAGAGATTATGGCTGTCAGAATTTGTGGGATCAATGTCAGCTACTGCAATTACTTACTTATTTACTTACATGTCTTTGTATACCAGCCAGTTCTCAAGACTCTAGGTGAAATTTGTGGATTAGGTAAATTGCTTGCAGTGGTTAGGGAAACTACTACTTCTCTCAATCCTTGCTTATCATGGTTGGCAAGATCTAGCAGGAAGGTTCAAACTGGTGGGTCTGGAGAGAAATTAATGCCATCTAAAGGGGAGGATAATATGTCTTCCAGAGTAAGATGTACAGTAGTGGTGTAACCTCTCTTTAAGAGGCTCTGTATGAACCCTAAGTCTTGAACAATGATAATCTAGTTGCAAATTCTTTTTTATTGGAGAATATAATTGAGAGTAATCATTTGGCTAGCTACAATGGAGAAAGCTTATTATCTAGACAAATTTCATTTGACTTTAGACTATGTGCATCACTGATACAGCCTTGGTTGCCCTAATATTCTTTGCTAAGTGAAAGATGGGAGGAATATTAACTTTGAAACCAACTGAAAATGGTACCTTGCTGGACTAGCCCTGTGAGTAGGGAACTGGAAGCACTGTGTTTCAGTAATTCTGTTCCTGTTTACAGGATTGCTGCCAGAGAGTGGTAGTAGGAAGCTTTTGTTCCAGAGGACTCAGTTCTCATCCTTCTGCTGTTTAGCTTCTACATGGGAGGTTTAGGATTGTTTTTAACAAATAAAAAAGGGATTAAAAAAAAAATAAGAGATAAGAAGTCACTTATAGGTTAGCATCTGGAGATCTGAAGCTCACTGTCAGTGATTGATTGACTGATTCAATTTGTCAGGCTGCCTAATTCTACACATAATAAAAAATACAGTAAGAGCAATGAAAACAAGAATTTGCACTGTGGAAATTCAAAAGATTTAAAACACCATAACACTTAAGTGGCTTCACAAGTTGCTCTTGTCCAGGACCTGCTAGAAAAGCCACATTTTAAAATCTTTTCTAAAGGGTTGGGGCCATAAGGACCTTGGTGGAATGCTATTCCAGAGGGCAAGAATCACTATTCAGAATCACAGAGAAGGCACAGCTCCAGGGTCGCATAAGATGACACTGTTTTTTTTTTTTTTAAGGGGCTCAGAGCAAGCTGACCATGCCAAATATTATAGGATGGGGAGAAATAGAAACAGGAAGCCCTGTAAATATCAAGGCTCTAAACCACAAATGGCTTTATAGATGACAATCAACACCTTGAATTGCACCCAGAAGCCTTCTGCTAATCAATGCAGCTTGCAAATAGAGATATCTGCATGGCTGTGTTTACTATTTTGCTTTTATGGTTTTACTCTGTAATATTACATAGTTCTGTTTTCATATGATTTCATAATCCTACTCTGCAATTCCTTAATGTTGGGAAAAAAGGCATTAAACTTTTTATACATTTATACAGTAACATGTGCAGACATCCACATAACAAATTACACAAGGAAAGTATTTTGTTTTATCCATATTTTTATATAAACTTGATGAAACAGCATCTGGAATGGACTTGCACACTTACTTTTTCAATGGTATGCAACTCTACAAAGAATTATGGAGGTTTCATGAATTAGCAGCAGCAAAGAAGATAATTATTCAATGATGGAACGATTTACAGTCTTGGATTATAGATAACTGCTCATTTCTTGATTATGAACTGACACTCCATTGATGCAATGGGAAGACTGATGAATATTATTTTGAATGGTCAAGGTTTAATTACTTTTTTCAAAAATCAATATATGTTGTGTGATTATACAGTATATGTATGATATGCCTTACATATCTTACCTGCCATATATTTTGTTTTATTTTTTGTATAAAAAGAAAAAAATAAATATTTTTAAAAGATGTATATAGTATTGCCCTATTGATTTCCCTGTAATTTTGTTTGTTTGTTTGTTTGTTCATGGCTGCAATTTATATGCCCCTCCATTTGCAGAGACTCTCAGAAGTCTACAGTTACTAATACCACCAGCTGGGGTAGCCTGGTCTTACTCATCCCAAAATACCTTTCTGAAGAGCCATGTTTTTACAGCTCTATGGAACTGTAATAAGAATGGGTGCAGTATGGATTTCTGGGGATAAGATGTTCCAAAGGAGGGGATTGATCACTAAGAAGACTTGAGTCTGGGGTCCCTGAATCCTCAGCAAGCCCACTTTCCCAGATCTTACTGGAGAGGCAGATTCAACATGGAGAAAGTGTTCATGGGGATATCCAAGGCCTAAGCCATGCAGGGCTTGAATTGTATCCAGAAGCTAACTGGCAGCCACCGCAACTCCTGTAGTAGTGCAATTAAAGGGGTGAACCTCAGGGCACCCACGCATAACTCCCTGAACCACTGCACAGTGCACCAGCTGAAGCTTTTGGATGGTCTTCAAGGGCAGCCCCATGTAGAGTGCATTGCACTAATTCAGCTGTGAAATGCCAAGGCCTTGGGCAACTGTAAGTAAAGCTCCTTGATTCAGGAAAAGTCCACAGCTGCTGCACATGATGTAGCTATCCAAAAGCCCTCATGGCCACAACCTCCACTTGCTGTTCAAACAGGATCCAGGAGTCCAAGACCCCCAAGTTGTGGGCCAGCTCCATCTGGGGAAGGACTACCCATCAAGAGTCAAATATGGACGATCTCTGGACGCAAACCCACAGCCTTGGTAGGACTCAGTCTAACCCTGTTTCTCTCCATCCACACTCAAGGGCACCAGGTCAGGACCTCCACCATATCTCTTGCCCATCCCAGAGTGGAGACAGACCTTTAAAAACTGATAGATTCCCAATATCTCACTGGTATTTTGGTAAGAAATATGCTTACCTAGCTAATTCTGCACCTGCATCTACATGTTTAACTACAAAAGATAAATACTGATAAAGCTATAGTTAATTTTAATACATGCATATTTATTCACTGGATATGAAGTTACAGTAGTTATTATGACACTGAGTGAGGAGCTATTTTATTTTCTCAGATTCTAGAGGATTATATTTTGAATTCCAGGTTTTACTTTTTTTGTTTCAGCTTTTCTCTGAAGCATGATATTTTCACTCCCTTTTCCTGAAATTTGAACTACACAGTAAGACTGCAATACTATCTTCAGTTTCATCTCAGAGTAAAGGTCAATCTGTAGATTAAAAAGACATAGGCTTTCACTATACTGGAGTGCGGTGCTTTTCTCTGAAAAGGCAGAACTACTGTATTTTGTTGGGCTCTTTGCTTGAACTATCATCCCATCCACAAAGAATAGAATTATCTCTCTTTACAGGTGTTATACAAATTAATATGTGATTAGGCATACATCGAAAAGACAGATAATATATTTTTGCATAATTTCTGAAAAGGAAACATATTTTAATAATTATTGCATTGTGCAAATACCTAAACCATTGCAAATGAAGCAACTTTGTTTTTGTTATTTATTTTTTAAGATACATTATCTTCCCATTTCTCTATCTAAGAAATCATATGATAGATTCTATCCTCATGTTTTTGTGTTTCTGAGGTTATTCTACTGGCACAGGACGGAGTAGCTGGAATTTCCACCAAGATAACATGAATCCAGAGATTGGGCGTACACAAATACAAGAGTTAACTCTGAACCATCATAATAGTTCAATTAACTGTATTCATTCTTCAATGGAAGTAAAGCTTTGGTAAACAATGTAGAATAAAAATTCGTTAACTATGGGGATTACTGCCAATGTATTTATTTATTACATACCAATGAATATTAGAATCATAGTCCAACACCATTTTAAAAAAGGACCAGGCAGAATATGCTTAACTTTCTTATGAAATATAATTCTTTCAGCAAGGTAACACTTTTTGTCAAAAGCAGCCCATTTGAGCTTCCAGGTTTTTATTTATTTTACTGGCCACCCAGGAGATCTTTTGATCACTAGGGATGATATAAATTGTTAAAGTGAATGCTAGGATTGCTTGCAATCTTCTACAACTTCTTAGTTACCTTACCAACATCCATGGTCTAGGGTGGGATGAGGAATTCCTAGAGCAAACCCAGGGCCCAAGTGGAGAAACTCCGAGCTCGCCCAAACCATGTTGGGCTCTAATGGTATGTTGGAAAGACCTTGGGAGACAGGGGGAAGAGACACTGCCTAGGGAACAGTCAGATAAGAGACAGCATAGCCCACAGCTGCATAGTGGATGGAGCAAAAGGCTCAGAAGAGACCCTCTCTAGGTTCTTGGGGTGTAAAGGTGAAGGCAGGAGAATTGTACTTTCAGACTCGCAAGATTCTGTTAATGTAGCTTTACAATAAAGTAGAATTGGTTTATCTGGTCGTGTTTCCTGTCTGGTCTACCTGGTAAGGCTGACATAGGCCCTTCACAGCTGCTTCTGAGTCTGCAGCAACCTCACTCACTCACCCCACCCAGAACTCTTCTGGACTTCATCTGAACTTCAGAGTGTCCTCAGGCTGTCTTAATCCATTGTTTTTGCATCCCCTGAGCGTTTAAAAATTCTGCTACCCTACCAGTTTTCCATTTACTCTCCCAACATGCATTCAGTTCATCCAGCTGGATTTCCTTTTTGTTCCCTGACTGCTTCAATCCCCTCACAGGGCAAAACAGAAATACCAGCTGTACCTCACTTCCTGTCCATGTACTCACAGACTTCCCATGCCCTGATCTTGTAGTAAGAGAAACCAACATTTACAAGGCAAGTCCACTTAATACCAATGACACTTAGATTAGAATACTTCTATTGTGGTTTAGATAGAACTAAAGAAAAATATTCTTTCAACTGTATATCTGTTTTAAATAGCATTGTATAACATAGCAGAGGGTAAAGTAAGAGTGTTAAATATGAATTCTGATTTAAAGAAATCCCTTCTAATATAATGTGAACAAATGTTCTATTTTACTCATGAAGCTCTGAACAATCTGTCATACTTTCTTACCGCCAGATTTTCAAGCTTACATATACTCCTAGGAGCTAAAATCATGCTTTTTTTATTAAAAGGTGAATGATTGATTTTCACCAGTTCCTGGGGGCTACATATCATATTGCACAGTACTGGTGCTATGGCCGTTGTACTTTTCTAGACCTTCTTGCTTTACCTTATCTCCCCCAGCCAATATATGCCCATACTGAAATTGCCAATGGGAACATTCAAGAGTTTAGGATTTAATCATAAACTACCCTTTTTGCTACAAACAACAAAAGTGCTCATCTGAAACTTACCCACAAACTTCTGTGGGGTGGAGCTTTTACGCTTTCCCAAGTTGCTTGTCAGCTTCTCTATAACAGCAGGTCTTTCAAAAGGCACCAGAGTAACATTGTTGTCCATCCCAGCTTCTTGCTCCTTACAATCTTCCATAGTAGAGACTACATAAAACCAAAAAGCCAGATCAGAAAGATCTAACTACACTTCCAAGAAATGTTTAACTAATAAATAAAATGATCAACACGGTAAACTTGGCAAACTATAATTTATCAACATGTGCCATTAAAAGCACAAGGGAGATTTAAAGTCATTCAATAATGACTGACTGGCTGGGGACACTCTGGGCTGCGTCTTCCCTTCCATGGTCTGAACTCACATCTGAAGGAAGAAATGTGAGGGTGCAAGAAACAATTGCACTGCTTCTCCTAGCAAAAAGATAGGGAAGAGGAAGATTTAGGAATGGAGATGGTGATCGCAGATATGAGGATATGCTTCTCTAAGTCATTGCATAAGCCAAGAATCTGCAAGACTTTTAGATAATGATATGCATTATTCTCCAACATGTTAATTCTCATGAATCAATAAAAAGTTAAGTAGCCTGTATACGAAACACATTATAATGGCAACATTTCGAAATACTACTAATTTTATTATCAAAGGCAAAACCAATAAAAATAGCCTTCTGTGTTAGGGGATAGGCTGGTTTCTATATTTTATTTCTAAAATGGCTCCACTTTTCTCATACTCCAGCATGATGCCAAAGTATACACAACGTTGTTCTCTCCAACCAAAGAAAGCTAAAAGTCCTGGGCTGCCTAAGCAACCCTATTCTGTGAAGATTAAAAAATGAAGGCTTACATGAAACAATCCACATCAAGGCATAGAGAGAAGGGAGGTTATTGCAGGATCAGAAAGATTGACCATAGGTGTATCACCTTTTCTTCCCAGGGTAAAAAAGAAATGTTTGTATCCCCATTCTCAGGACAGAGGGGTGGGTGTGGGGAATTGATGCTGGCAGGTTCTGCTCATCATCCCATTCCTATACATCTGTTGAATGCCTGTGTAGAATATTTATTCTTTACAAAGACTATTCTTTACAAACACATTGCTCCTTCAGGCAACAGCCAAGAGGTATGGAAACCAACTGGATCAATGATCCTATCCTACTGCTGTTCAGTTGGCAACAGCAGTAGGATAGGCTGTCCACCATGCCTGAGGAAAGCAAGTGAGTTGTAGCTGTCCTTCAGGAAGAGAATGAGGTGCTCAAGAGGAATGGTTGGGGGATGTGCCCCACAGCCTATTCTGAACAGTTTCCTGAATGGTGTAGGTTGGCGGTACGGCCAGTTTCAGCAGCTGTTCTTCCTAGTTTTATACAGTAGTCTCTCCTCAGACTACTGACTTGGGACAGGATTAAATGTATAGTAATTTTATCTTTCAGTGTATTTTTACTTGTTTGATCTAGTTATGCATTCTCTAAAGTTGACAAGATATATCCAACGTACCAAACTAAAAGCACAATGGTTAGGGAAATCAAAGCTAGATAAACAAAATTGTTCTAATAACACAGTCTTCATTATCATGACAAAAGCCCTTTATATTGGCTAACATTAGTGGGTTGGTCCAATAGAATTCTTCAGAATGTTTGAAATAAGCTTCTGAAATAACCTGCAGTATTTCCAAAGGCATATTATTCTGTGTCTTAAGTAGTCTCTGTCTTAAGTCTTTAAAAAACATGTAAGCCATCCAACTTAAACCACACACATGTGAATAAGAACTTGATGCTTGACATCTCCCCTATCTTGCTGGGCCACTGTGTTGGCCCCTCTTTTCACAGCTATAAATAATTCCTTGTGTATCCCTAATGATTGGCTTAATTCATGCTTTCAATATATAAAAAAGACGATTTAAATGATCCTGCAAATTACCACCAATTAGTATTTTACTATACAGGTAGTCCCCGGGTTAAGAATGTCTGGTTTAAGGATGACCCATAGTTAAGAATGGAGGAATGGAGCCTAGTGTAGTAAAATTTGAGTTAAATACACAATGGTTCGAGTTCATTACACAATACTACTTATACAGTATTATACATTAATACTGTTCTGGCTTACATACAAATTTGGCTTAAGGACAAACCTTAGGAAAGGAGCTCATTTTTAAACTGGGAACTACCTGTAATCAGCAAAACGATTTGCCATATTTTTATATCATAAACTCTTGGACTGGATGAACAAGTTGGCCCCAGAGCAGGTGGGCTTTAGGTATGATCACTTGACCATGGACCAATGTGTTATATCACATCATCTCAGTGAGAAATATTATAACTTGCCTAAATGTGTCCTTTATGTTGCTTTTATAGGTTGAAAGGTAGCCTTTGATTCAATAGCTTGGAAAAGACTCTGGAGGAAATTAGCTGCCCCCTTGATTGAATGATGTCTCCTTAAACTACATCACTACATATCACTGCATCAAGGCACTACCATCCAAGTCAAGGGTATGTGATCAATTCTCAGAAACCTCTAAGAAGGTGGTAAAATTCCTACCCATAGCCAAGGGTTTTAGAAACCATCTGGTGCCTCCTTCACATTATTAACTATTCCATGTAATTTTCTATTACTTTTTCTTTTATTCACATATTTGTTGTACTTTACTTTTATGATTGGTTTTGGGCCATAAATAAATAAACCATAAGCCCAAAACATTAAAAGCAACAGAAACCAAAGAAGAATGAGAAAAGAACAATGTGAGTCCCAGAGGAAAACATTCAGCTAGCTTCTAAAATCCTAAAGGGGCTTATCACCCAAACCCGAGGCCTGGGGAAAAAGACTTATTTCAAAGACTTTTTAAAGATAATCAAGGTGGAGGTTATATGAATCTCTGTTCCAAAAGGTAGGCACCATGACAAAGAAAGCCACTTCCTAGGTCCAATCAGGTGATGTTGTTTGATAGATGGGACCTGGAGAGTGCCCACTCTGTCTAATTGTACAACATTGGCAGAAACTATTTTTTTCCTAACTTATCAACATCTTTCTGATTTTTTTACTTCTTCCAGAGTATTAGCTATTCTAGCCAAAATTTGGGTCATGTGCAGACTTGATATAGATTCCTTTCATTCTGTCATCCAAGTGATGAAAAAAATGCTGAAGACTATCAGGCTGCAGTACTTCCTTGATACAACGCTTCAGTTTGATAGCTACTCTCTGAGTACATTTTTCAGGCCAGCTGAAGGTCCATCCAACAGAGATGCTATCCAGCCTATACATATATATAATTGCAGATCACAAAGTCATGGAAATTGTTTATGAAATGTTTAGCTGAAATCAAAATATATTATTACTATAGCAATTAGACAATTAATTACAGAACTTATTTTATCAAAAATGAAGTAACATTAGTTAGGCAAGTCTTTTTGACAAATAGAGTTTGATGTCTAGGAATCACTGCATGATATTTATGGGGCTTATAGATCAATTAATTTATGATTAAGAATATTCCTGGTAACACTGTAAGACTAAATGATCTGTAATTTGATGGAACTCCCGCTCCCCCATATTTTTTATATATATATAAGGGCAACATTTGTTCTCTTCTAGTCATCTGGCATTTCACCTGTTTGCTGGGATTTCTCAAAAAGAATCCCAAAACATAAGGATTTGGCCAGCTCATCACCCAGTTCCTTTAATACCACAGGATGTAATTTATTTGGTCATGAAGGTATAAACTCTTTCAAGGTAACTATGTAATTATCTGACCATATTTTTATAAATATCAAGTTGCAATCCTGCCTATTCCATTATTACTGAATGTAAATCACTATAAAAAGGGTGGGGTAAATATCCAGGTTTAACTTAAAAGGTAAACAAATATACGGAATGTATGAACAGTGTTCTGTTTTAGTGTTTTTGTTTTGAAAAGAAAAAACAACTAAGGGAGGCTTCAAACAGACGTGTAAAAGGGTTTAAATGTTAGATGACATTTTAAATTTGCCTTTTCTAGCTGCTGTTCCATCCAAGAGAAGAAAAATGTTCATGATAGAAAGATCCAAATGGGAGAGAAAGAAAAATGAACTGGGATGCTTTCTGTATGAGCTGATCAAGCCAGGGTTGATTATATTTATGTAAGAAAGTGGAATATACCATTCTATTCTAACAAAGGCAGAAAGCAGTTAGGATTGCCCAATTCTGAGTAGAAAAATAGTGAAAGGGAAATACTAATTAACATCTCTGTCCCCATTCCCATCACTGTTCTGATTGAACAAACAACACCACAGTTACTTTTTGAATTTTACACAAACCTATTCATGAATAATAACTATTTTGGACTTAAACTGTTACTGGAGTATTTTACTTCTTGGATCAACTTAATAGTTTGACAGTCTTCAGTTTAAACCATTTTTGGGGGGGAGGGGGCTGCTTTCTAGTCAGTTTTTGACTCCTGGCGACTGCCTGGACTAGACCTTGCAGTTTTCTTGGCAAGGTTTTTCAGAAGTGGCTTGCCCTTGCCTGTTTCCTAGGGCTGAGAGAGAGGGACTGGCCCAAGGTCACCCAGCTGGCTTTGTGCCTAAGGCGGGACTAGAACTCCCGGTCTCCCGATTACTAGCCTGATGCCTTAACCACTGCATCAAACTGGCTCTCCTAAACCAGATTAGTCCTATTGAATTTAAGGAGTTAGAATTGCCAACTGTAAGCCCTTGGGATGGACTAATTTGGGAAGTGAACTTGCTAGCATCCCAAACCAATGCCTCTCACTTTTGTATATACTACCATCACCAGTAGTAGTAGTAGTAGTAGTAGTAATAATAATAATAATAATAAATTGCTATTAGTTAGCGTCTATAAATTCTTTCAGTTATATTTATGGCAACAATTCCATGTTCCGATTATTCCATAGCATCCCCATGTCTCTGCGCAATTCATAGAAACTAAATGCGTTCAGCCAAGGATATCCTTGAGCTAAGCAGATAGCAGCAGAAGTTCAATTTGCACATAAAGCAGTAGGTTTCTAGAAAGACATTATAGGAAACCGCTTTAATTTATATGCCCTCTAAGAAAATATGTATTTTTGGTTCTGTTTGGAATTGGCTGAGTAAGAAATCAATCCTAAGTCCCCACAGCTCTTTTGCATTTTTTCTTTCCCATCATGACTCATAGATATAGCTATC